GGGATAGTGGATGATCTCAGCAGGCCTGCCCAGAGACCAGGCTCATTGGGCTTTCTGCCATCCACAGTTTCCACAGGAGCGACCCCAGGTGGGAGCTGTTAGATGGAGCCAGCAGCAGTTCTGGGTTCTGAGCTCGGCTGGCCTGTCTCCAGGATGGCTCCTGGCTAATCACTCTCTCATGGGAGAACTAAGTCCTCTGAACTCACTGCCAGCCAGTGCAGCCCTCCACATCTGCTGCTGACCTCCCCTGCTGCCTCTCTGCAGAGGCCTCTGGAGTCACTATCACCCTGGGTCTGCTAGCTTGAACCACTCCTGTCAGATAGTGAGTCCCTCTTTGGCTTCTCTGTGGGCTTCAGTTCACATTTCTGATGCTTCCTGGGTCCCGTGGCCCACTCCTCTCCTTGTCTTCCTCACAGTGCTGTATCCACTGTCTGAAAAGTGACTCTCCGAGAGGCTGTTTTCTCTGCTGCTTACTGCCTCGCCATCTTGGTCTCTCTCAATTCGATTTTTTAAATGAGCAAAATAGTTGGATTTTTAAAAAAGAAGTATGGCAAATCAATAAGAATAGAAAAGGCCCTGAACAAGTAATAAGTTATCAGGAAAATCCACATTAAAACTAAGGGAGACCCAGCTATATGCTCTGTACGAGAAGCCACCATAAATTTAAGAATGTAGATAGGTTAAAAGTAGAAGGAAGAAAAGAGATACACCACTCAAAAGACACAAACGTCCAAGTAGTCGTTAGCTCACAGTGAGAGATAATTCACCAAGAAGACTAACAACCCTGACCATGCACACGGCCCACATCAGAGTGTCAAGGTACTTGAAATGAAATTGTGTAGAACTGAAAAGAGAAATAGGCAAAGCCACAATTAGAGTTGGAACTTTAATACTTCTCTCTCACTGATGTAGAAGTAGCAGACGGAAAATTAGTAAGGCTGTCAAAGAATCAAATAGCATTTCAGCTAATGAGACTGAATTGGTATTTGTATAATACTTCACCTCGAAATAGTAAAATATGCTTTCTTTTAAGTATATGTGGAGGGTCAGGGGGTTGGCTTAGCAGCACAAGCACCTGCTAGGCAAGTGCAAGGTCATGAGTTTGATCCCCACTACCAAAAATATGAAGTACATGTGGAATATTCCCAAAGATAGATGGGTGATCAGAAAATGAGCCTCAACCAATTTGAAAGAGTTTAAACCCATACAATACATGGTCTTGGAGCACATGGAATTAAATTAGACATCAATAACAAAGATAAATGAGGAAACCTGTGAATATTTGGAAATTAATAAATTTCTAAATAACCAATGGTTTAAAAGGAAGATTAGACTATATTTTGTGCTGTACAAAAAGTGAGCATGCAATGTATAACTTGGGAGAGAGAGTTAACTAAAGCATTCTCAGAGCGAAGCTTGGGGCCCGATATTTACATTAGGAAATAACCAGCAAGTCCACAATCAGAGCTGCCCCCCCCCCCCCCACGGACAGCGCTTGAGCTGGGAGCCAGGGGCGACCCAGTCTTAATGTGAAGGAGCCAGAGGGAACAGAAATAACCACCGGAGGGCCAGGGGTGACCGGCATGGCAGTCAGAGGACAGCAAAGCGTTCTCTTCAAGAGGACCAAACCCACACCTGGACTCGGTTTGCCTGAGCTGAACCCTGGCTCCCCTTCGCAGAGTGCGGGCTTTGGCCCGGTGACTTGGCCTTGCTGTGTCACCTTCCTCGTCCAGTACCCACGCTGGGGTGAGGGCAAGGTAGACAGCACTTGCAATAGGGAGTGTCTGGTGCGTGGGGCGTGCGTCTAGGTGGAGATGGCAGATGGAAGCGGTGAGAAGCCACAGAACGTGCGTGGCTGATGTGAGGGTGGAGGGAGAGCTGGACGCCCGTGAAACACCAGGCCTCGGACTGCCGGGTCTGCTCGATTGCTGGAAGCATGCAGGGGCACAAGTCTGGAGGAGCTGCCGTGGGCCTGATTTCACCTTGCTTTTCTCTTTCTTTCTTCTGGATCTGGAGTAAGTCATCATGATCCTCATTTCTAGTCTGCACAAAAACCAGAAATGCGCCACTAGGGGTCGCCACTGACCAAGCAGATTCCAGCAGCTTTCTCCCAGATCTGGTTTAATCCTTTCTCTCAGGCTTTTCCTTGGTCGATTTCTTCTTTCTGATGTTCTAAAATTCCTTTTTTTTTTTTTTACAGTCATGCTCTTTCTGTTTAGAGAATGTCTTTCAACCATTCTTTTAGGGTCGGTCTGCTGGTGACAGATCTCTTAAACTTTACCTGCGAATATCTTTTTTTTTTAAATAGAGTTTCACTATGTAGTTCTGGCCCGCCTTGAACTCACTTTGTAGCCCAGGTTGGCCTTAAACTAGCAGCGGTCCTCCTGCCTCAGCCTCCTTAATGCTGGGATTACAGGCACACACCACCACACCCGGTTTGAAAATATTTTATTTCTCCTAAAGGCTCATTCTTACAATTCTAGATCGACAGTGCTTCTCTTTTGAGAGTATGTGAAAAATATTGTGCTACTTCCTGTCAGCCTCTGGCTTTGATGAGAAATCCAATCATTCAAATTGTTTCTCCCTTAAGGGGAACATGGCTGTTGTTTCTCGATGCTTCCCACATGTTCTCTTTCTGTTTGCTTTTCAGAAGTTGATGGTGTACTGGGCGTGAATTGCTTGGCTTTATCCTCATTAGAATAGCTTTTTAAATCTGTGAGATTATGTCTTTTGGCTAATTTGGAGACTACTCAGTCTTTATCTTGTCAGATGCTGTTTAACTGCAGACTCTCCTCCCCTCTGGGATTCCAGTGACCTAAATGGTAGAGCTTTTGTTATAATCCCACAAGTTCCTGAGATTTTCTTTTCTTTATCTTTCTTTCACCAACTTTATCTCTGCTCTTCAGATTGTATGATTCCTGCTTTCTGATCTGTAAGTTTATTGGCTAATTCCTCTTATCCTCTGTTCTGCTATTGAGTCTAATGAGTTGGGGATTGTTTGTTTCTCTTGATTGTATTTTTCAGTTCTAGAATTTCCATTTCATTCTTCTTTTTTTCTTCCATTTTTAATGTTGAGATTTTCTTCTTTTTAAGGAAATGTTTTAAATTTTCTTCAAGCACTTCTCAAGTTATTAACATATTTTTATTTGGCTCCTTTAAAATCTTAGACAATTCTTCCATCTGTGTTTGTCTTAGTGTTGGTCTATTGAGTGTCTTTTCTAATTCAATCTGGGATGTTCCTGGTTTTCTTAGTAAGATAAATGATGTTTTATTAGATCGTGGATATTTGAAGTGTTGAGATTTTCTGAATCTTAAAATTTCTTTTAAAGCGAGACATGGTGGTTCACACTTATAATGCCAGCACTCAGAAGGCTGATGCAGAAGCCAGCCTAGGTGGCACAGAGAATTCAAGGCCATTTTGTACTACATAGTGAGAACATCTCCAAAAAAAATTTTTTTTAAGTTCTTGGAGGTGGGGATTTAGCTCAGAGGCATAAGCACTTGCCTGACAAGCACAAGGTTGTGAATTTGATCCCTGAAACCAAAAAAATAAAAAAAATTCTCTTGTAACTAGACCTTGACACCACGCTGGCAGGGGAAGCTGGCAGATGCCTCACATCACTTCAGGTGAACACAGAGGCCCAGGTTCTGCACGTGGCCTCTGTCCCCACCAAGGGGACAGTGGTTCTCTGGACCATGAGCCCTGCCAGCGATGAAGACACTCCCCTCCCCGTGCCTCTGTTAACCCACCCACTGTGTCAATTTTAGGTCCTGTAACCCCTGGCCACCCCAGCTTCCTCTCTCTACCCATGATACACATAAACACAAGGTCATGATTTTTTGTTAGATTTTACATCAAACAAGAACGTAAACAAAGACTCAAGTTTAATAGTATGCGTGGCAAAGGTCAGACAAGTTTAGTAATTTCTGTAAATTTGCAGAAGGTGAGAATATAAGGTGAGTTGCTGGGTGGGGAGAGGATATGTGTGGGATGAAACAGCAGCGGTGCAGAGCTGCTGCAGGACTGGGTGGTGAGCGCCTGAGCGCCCAGTGCACGCTGCTTTCATCTGCTTTGGTGTGTTTGACACATTTCATAGCTAACCACCATCATCTGTGTTACCCTTTTAAAATTTAATTGAAACCCTGAAATGCTCATTTAAAAAACTCATCAACTAATTATCTGCCAATAAAAAGAAAAAGACAAACCCAAGTCTCACACTTAAAATCTTTCTTATCTTGGAATGTTACTTCTTTTGAACTTCTGTTTAATTCTTTTCATATCTGTTTTATATCCCAATCTAATTTTTATTGGAACTATTAGTTTATTGGAACTCTTGGTATTTTTTAAATTGTGAACTATTTCAAATGCACCAGAACATGCAGAGTCTAATAGAAGATTCCTGCAGCTACACCGCCTGACTTTGTTTGAATCTACCAGTTTGCAATTTATACTTGGTTTTTTTTAATAAAAAGTAAGTACTTTCTGCTTACTTCTCTTAAACTAAAAGTTCTCTAAAAGACAAAGTCAATTCAAATTTAATTGGCCATAACGTTCCAGAATTTGGCATAAACTTTTACATAAAGTTTCAAAAGTTCTCTTTTGTACTTCATTGCTTTATGTAAACTTCAGGGTGGACCTTTTGTGGGTGCCATTTCATAAGAGATTAAATTGCAGGATGTAATTCTCAGGCCTCAAATCTTGAATCGAAACATGATGTATATCCCAGCTGAGGACAACATGTAAAATGCGCGTCCCATCTCTGAAACCATTTCAATCTGCAGTTTCACTCTCAGCTCTGAAGTATTTCACTTACAACAACTTACCACAGGCACAAAGGTCCAAGTCTGAATTCATTTTATTAGTTTCTTCATGGTTTTATTAATAAATATTGGAAGGCTTTTTTTTCACTATTTCAGAAGTTATATGCATGCTGGACCTTGATGTAAAAAGAAACACATCGTGGAATTACATGAAATAAACATTGACAGCTCTGCTTTCCCGCCGTCAGCACTCTGGCGCTCAGAAGCAGTGATGTATCAGAGAACTTTCTACAGTGCAATTTCAAATGGGAAACTCTCATTTCAGGTCCTGAGCAACATTCATACTGTCCGAGCCACGTGGCAACCTAAAAAGCCCAAAACATGGGCATTTTCTCCCCAGGTAGGTAATCTCTGAGTGAAGAGAAGAAAAAAATGAATTTTTTTTTTAACCTATTAAGTTGCTGCAGTTAAGATCTAAGGTGAGGCTGTAACTGTGACGGACTCGGCACAGGATGCAAGGGCCCAGATTTAAATCTTTAAATTCCTTAGTGTGTTCCTAGATTTTAAAAAAGTCACTCATATTCCTGACGCACCCATGTTATGTTTCCTATGAATCACCTTGTTCAATGGATGTCAATTTTAGAAACTACCCATTTGATGAAACATGAAAACAAGAAGATAACATTTAGAAAGCAGGGTGTTTTTTCAAAAATGAACGCTTCCCCTGTGCTCCTGAGGTTGTGTTTTCCCAGATAACATCAAAGGTGACGCCCGAGGACTGTCCCTACACCCTGGGGACTGTCACTGCCCAGTGAGGGCTTCAAACCACTGACTCGGGGTTACGTGGACACCAGTGAATCGAGGGTGTCTTTATGTTCTTTATCCAGCATTAATTGCATGTAGCATACTTGGTTTCCACCACTGTGGTTTCGTTACTCTAGTATTTTATTTCCCTACAATTAACTTGTTTATGTTACTGCACCCTGAAAACCCTTCATTGAGCTTCCTCTTATTGCATCAAAAGAGTTAGAGTGAGATCTGGGAGAGTTAGGGGGAGGTCTGAGAAAGGTCACCTCACTGCGTGTGCGTGTCCCCACTCATCCCCCAAACTAGTGCAGGTGCAGGGCGACCTCGAGAGCTCCCTGCTCCCAGGGAGAAACCGCCAGCCTGTGGCACAGCCCTGCACGAGTGTGCAGTGGTGTCTGCGTGTGTGAAGTGCAAGGGTGGGGTGTGAGGTGCTAACACTTTCCTGGATTATAAAGATGAGCCATTGGGAGGACGTGTAAGTATACAACCCGTTGCCGAATCCAGTTAAGCATCTGCCAGGTGCCAGGCATCCACCCTGGACATGTGGGAACTTGCAGGATAATGGAGAAGAAACTCGTGAGTGATAGCAGCTCCCTCCATCCATGGTGCCCAGCCATGTGCCAGGCCCTGGGTGAGATGTCTTGCTGCAGCCTTGGAGGCTCCCTGGGTGTGGGCACTGTGGAAATAAATCTTCACTCGGGCTGATGGGGTTCTGAGTGCTTTGGGAGCCCAAGGAGGTGAGGCTAATTCTAGCCTGATCCCCAGGGAAGGTATCGTGGAAGAGAAAGCAGACGTAAAGGACGGGTAGGACTACTGAGGCAAGAAGGGGGATTTGGTTATTTAGGAGAGAGGAGAGATGAGCAAGAGGGAAAGAACATTCACAGGACGGGCGGCAGGCGCGCTGAGCGAGCATGTATTGGTCTTTCGGGTTAGATCCATTTAAGCAGCAGAGCAGTGGCTAGGCACACACCTTAGGTAAGCACCTCACACAAACTGTGCACTGGAACCTGCGGACAGCGCTTGTCTCACAGTGCAAAAGCAGGTGACAGTAATGCCTTGAAATAAGTGTTTTTATTTCAAATCTTTGTTACAGATGATAAGCCCAGTACATCTGCTTTTTATTTTCCTTAAAAGACCTTTATCATACTGCAGGGGCATAAACCGTTCACAGATGGTCCAAGGAGCTAAACTCCTCCCCACTTCTTCTTCCCGGTGACTTTGGTTTCTCTGTCATGCAGGTCACTGGCATCTTGCCCTGCTTGCTCAGTGGGGACTGTTTCATCAGGTCCAATTCTTCATCTCCCGACCTCGGAATCCTGTTTGAACTTGGAATTTCCTATATTCGCAACGTACGTCAACTGAAACATAAGGTTTTCTAATGTCTCCATTAAAAGGGAAGTGTCCGAAATATGTCTGTATTTACAGGTAAAATACAGGAAGGCTTCTGTGTAGTAGAATTTTAATCCCTTGTGGAATGAGATTGATAGTGATTCTCATTTTTTAGATAATGCTACAATGGTATTTAAAATAGTATTTAAATTGACATTAAAAGCCAGGCATGGTGGCATATGACTAACCCCAGCACTCAGGAAGCTGAGGCAGGAGGATTGCTGCAAGTTTGAGGCCAACCTGGGCTAAAAAGTGAATTCAAAGTCAGCTGGAACTGCATCTCAAAAGTCTGTCGTAAAAAACCAATAATAACATAATAATAATAAGTAACTTGGCCCCAGTAACCAGAGTCATCACAGAGAGGTTACATCAGTGGTCCTATATTGCCACTGCTGTTCTTTAAGACAGACTGAGGCATGTGCTTTGCAGATAGGTAGGATGGTGAGGGGAGGAGCAGGTCCCCAAGCAAGCCCTGGTGGCCTCTGTCAATTGACAGTGAAGATAAACTTCGGAGCAAAACTTTGGAGCTCCTTGAGTGACCCCTGCTGCATTCCACCAGGCAGTGAAACCCCGTCTCATGATCCCAAGTGGTATCAGTGTGATTTGAGATCAGTTTACAAAGTTCACAGCACTCAAGATCTGAGAGCAGTCATGGCCACCTTGTCAGATTTAAGGAATTTTCAAGAGCAAGGATTTTCAGCGAAACACGGTTGTCACTTGAAGTAGCGACAGTTTGTTAGTTTGCGAAGGAAGCGGGCATCTGTTAGGTCTCATTGTATTTTCTGGGAAAGAGCTGCTCCTGTAGTGGGGGTGAATGCGCGTTTTGTTCTCTCTGGGCTGCAGACACAGAGTCACATACTTGTTTTGCTCCCTAGTCTACCGGTGACCGAGGAGAGTTAAGCTGTGGCTGGGCGTTTCTGAAGCTGTTCGATGCCAGCGGCGCTCCTATTCCGGCCAGGTAAGCGGGCTGGGCGTTCCCTACTGCTGGGCCATTTTGCACGAGTTCATCTTTTAGGCTCTGGGTAGCTCAGATTGGTTCTGGTAGCTCTTCAACAAGTTGAGTGTTGTCTGATGCTGCACAGAGACAGCTTGCAGACTTTCGTCCCAGGCAGGAAAAAATGATGTGTGGAGTCAGTGTTTTAAGAGCTGTTTGCACTGGCTGGCTGCTGAGTGATTTCCCGTGTCCTGGCACATTTCCCTGTGCTGCGAGCAAAGCCTGATTCTCTTCAAAGAGTGGGGAGCTGAGCCAGGGTCCCCAAGTCCTGTGACCTCTGCCTCCCTCCTGAAGGTGGAACGTGGAAACTGTAGTGGGAATCTGTAAACAGATTTAAACCTTAGGAGCAAAAAGGCAGACAGGAAGCAGATTTTTGCGATAAGAACCCTATAGCCCCTAATGCAAAAAGAGCTCTTGAAAATTAATAAGACAGAGATCATCTGAATTTCTAAATGGGAGAAAATTCAGCTCTAAGTCTAGGCTATAAAGCGAAATTCACAGCAGAGATGCAAATGGGCAGGCAGGGAGCTGCATGGTGATCAGGATCCCAAGCTTAGAATTATAAAGTCCCAAGCAGGCAGTCGTGAGTTCGATCCCCGGTACCGATAAAAAGGAAAAAGACAAAAAAAAAAAAAAAAAAAAAAAAAGAATTATAAAGTCCGAGGCTGTGGTCTGTAACATCTCAAGGCCAGAGGTAAAGTCCTGATTACCTCCTTTCTTGGCGTCACCCCCGTGCATGGGTGGGAGGGCTCCCCCAGTAACAGGAGTGGGTATAGAAACCCAAGCTTTCTTGTGGTGTGTTTAGAAAACATGCTCAGGGGTGGGGTGCAGTCCTTAATGAAGGAAATAAAGAAAATATGTCTCCATCTTTCTACAAGTCAGGTGACAGGTGTTTTTTAAGCAAGAAGCAAGGTAGAGCTCTGTGTATTAATACAGAGACGCTTCCAGTGTATAGCAGACAAAATGTAAGACACAGACCAGTCTGAATACCGTGACCCCACCCCTCTTTAATTGTTCATTGAAAACTATTTGTTTGCTTCTGTGGGCAGATGCAGGTAACCTGGATCAGAATGGGGACCCTGGCGTGGTAGGGGTAAAGGGGCCTTTTAACTTCCTTCCTGCACTCAGGTGGTGTCTGCTTCAGAACAGACGCACGCAGAGCTGCAGGAGTAGCTCCTGGTCGTCTTTCCATGAAGCCCTGCTTTTGATCCCCAGGACCGAGGTGTGGGGGAAACATGTATCAGCTTGTTTTCGTTTGCATAGAAAAAGAGCATCTGGGAATTTAGCTCAGTGGCACAAGCACCAGCCTGGCAAGCGCAGGGTTGTGAATTCAATTCCTGGTACCAAAAAGAAAAGAAAAAAGAGCAAATGATGTGTCAGCATAGGAAGGAAAGATGGGGAGGAGTTTCTTTGCCTTCCAAATGTTTTACACTATACACGTCACTTTCCTATTTTAAAAAGAATTGAAATTCATAATGACTTTGTTTCCAATAATGATTCAATTCATTTGAAAATACATTCAAAGCAGTTATTGTCATTAAAGTCAAATAATGTCAATTAATCTTTCTCATTTTCATGTAAACAAAAAACCCCATATTCTCAATAGTTTGTGCTGAGAGTCTGTTGACCAAGATGGCACCTACTAGGGACCCAGAGCTGTCTCCCTTCTGTCACAGATTATAGACATAATAATAACCAATGTTATGTCTGTAAATAACTTTGTGCTCAAATGTACTTTACTGCTGACTCCAGTGTTCACCGAATGCCTACGAGACATACCCACCCAAGCAAGTTTTTCTATTCTAGAACTTACGAGCTCCTCCTGAACGGCGGGACCCCCTATGAGAAAGGCGTGGAAGTGGACCCTTCCGTGTCCAGGAGAGGTACGGCTCTTAGGTGTTGCTTTCCTTCCCTTAACGCCCAACACGGTCACGTGAGAAGGCAGCTCGCACGGTGTTCTTCACTTGCATTTGTGCTCTTAGAAACAGGTCAGGCTAAGCCAGAGCCCGCCTGAGGCAACGTCAAAGCGCATAAACAAGGAACGGTGATGTGCATGGCTCACTGTCCTGCAAAAAGTTGAGCGCCTTTTACCTGGCCTTCGGCCCGGCAGTGTGCTGGGAGTTGGGAGGCGGAGGGTGAGACACCCTAGTCTTCGTTTGGTGGTCAGAGCATCCTCCCTGCCGCTGTCCCCACAGCCCTGGCATCCCAGCTTCTTGGAACAGGAAGGAGCTTGGAGTCTGAGATGCAGCTGGTTCTACCTAGGGCCGGATGTGCTCTTCAAACTCCCCTTCTCCGCTGCTTAAGCAGGCAGCGGTGATACCATCTGGGGCCTGTCTGTGTCCATCAGGATTCGCATCACCCTTTGTCCCTCGGCTCTCTGAGAACACTCGGGACTCCTGCCTGTTGCACACTTGGTACACGGATGGCACATTTTCACCGAACACTTGGTCTACTGTACTCATTCCCAAACACTTCACATTTTTAGTTTTATCTTTGATTTTTTTTTCAGCACACAGCAGTGTTTTCCATCAGATGCTGACCATGCGAAGGCAGCCTCAACTTCTGGTGAAACTGAGGTCTCTGAACCAAAGATCGAGAAACATCCTGAGGTTGGTCCCTGCTCGCCTTTCCCATGTGCTCGGGCGCCTTTGCAGGGCGCCGCTGCTTCGGCTTCTCCTCCTGCTTACTCGGCCAAGTCTTTCTCAGTGGTTTTGTCCCCCATTAATTCTTCTGCCTAAGATCAGTAGGGAGCTGAACATAGAGGTGCACACCTGTGATTAAAGAAAATCTCCGGGAGTTTGAGGCCAATGTGGGCTTCATAGTGACTTCAAAACCAGCCTGTATCTCACGGGGAAACCCTGTCTCCAAAAACCCAAACACCCCAACCCCATCAGTAAGGAAGCAGGATAGTAACACTGTGTACACTCACTCACAGTCCTGTTTACCAATAAGCCCAAGTGATAGGCTTCGCTATAGATAATTCAGCCACTTTTGAATAAATGGGGCTTACCAATCTCTAATCCTGTCTTCAGGGAACCTTTTCTTGTCAGATGTACTGAGGTTTAATTTACATACAGCAAATTTACCCTTTTTAGTGGGTGGGGTCTTGGAGTTTTGACAGGTGTGCACAATCATGTAAAAACAGCCACCAGGATACAGAATGTTTTCCTTACTCTAAAAGCTGAATTCAGGTCTATAGTCAGCTCCCAGCGCCCAGCCTCACACCTGTTTTCTTCCCTACTAGCTTTGCCTTTTCTGGATCTCATAAATGGAACTGTACAGTAGCGGCCTTTGAATCTGGCTTCTTTCTCTCAGCACGGCGCCTTGGAGATTAACCCAGGCTGCTGCGTGTATTCGATTGTTCCTTTTCTTTCTAGGCAGTATCACATTTTATGAATGTAACACAGTTTGTTTATCATTCTCTAGGTTGCTAGATTGTGTCTAGTTTGGGTAATTATGAATAAGGGCCCCTAAACACATGCATACAAGATTTTTCTTCACCCAGCTTAGGTTTTAACCCCAGGCCTTCACACTGACCTGCATCCCTGCCCTTTTTAAAAAATCTTTAATGTTGAGATTTTTGAGACAGGGCCTCACAAAGTCACCAGTTCCCTAGGCTGGGCTCAAGCTTGTGACCCTTTGGCTTCAGCCTCCCAGGGTGCTGGTGTGATGGGGCAGTATACCACCGTGCCCAGCTCGCCCACAGGTTTCCCAGTGTGGACATCTGCCTCCATCTCTTGTGGGTAGAAATAACCTAGGAATGGGACTGCTGGCTCGTCTGGTTTTAGTTTAACTTTATAAGAAGCTGCCAAACTGTTTTCCAAAATTACTGTACCATTTACCCTCTCCCTAACAGGGTGTGAATTTCACTTTCTCTGTATTTTTTTTTCCCCCCTCATCAGGCTGGCCTTGAGGTCATTTTATAGCGCAGGCTGGTCGCAAATTTGAGGTCTGAGATTACAGGTGTGTGCCACCACCCCCGGTGTATACTATATTCTTTTTTTTTTTTCTTTAGCTTTTTATCGGTACCGTGTATCGAACTCACAACTGCCTGCTTACAAGGCAGGTGCTTATGCTGCTGAGCTAAATCCCCAGCCCCTCGTATACCATATTCTTGACAGCACTTTGTATTGACAGTTTTTTCTGTCCTGGCCATTTTAAAAAGCCAGTAGTGGTTTCCATGGTGTTTTTAACTTGTGTTTTGTGCAAGAAGCATTTATACTAGTGGAATCTCAGATCTACTAATTTTTCACTCAGTGTCCTTAGACTTTTAACCATTTCTCAGCCTTTTAAATAGACCAATAAGACCGTGCCATCTAAAACCAGACAGTTCTCACTCTGCACCTGGGGTGCCTTATCTCTTTTGTTGCCTCCACATTTTATGTTATTGACATTAAAATTTATGACTTTTAACTTTGTGTATATGTTAAAAATTATCGCAGCTATTTATTTTAAATGTTTTCATTTTTACGCTAGAATTAAAAGCGATTTGTATGCCACCCTTTACAATATTAAGACTAGTCTGAAAAAGCAGACGTACCAGCATAGACCCCTTACCACTGGAACAAGAGTGACTGGAAAGGAAGCATATAAACCCCGGGCTTCGTGTTGATTGTGCTTGGCACACAGTGGAGCACATAGCGCCAACCATTAGCATCCGCCATTGGAGTAATGATGTAGATTCAACGCCAAGGAGACAGTGCTGTAAAGACTGCTTGGATGAAGATGTGGTTTTCAGCAGGGAAGGTCCGGGGAGGAGCAGAAGCAGACTTTGCAGGATGGCAGGAAGGTGGCCATGGGAGAGGAAAGGAGCTTCTCACAGAGGACACGGGCACCCGGGGGACAGGGCGAGGTGAGCACAGTGTGGGGCAGAGCCCATCCAGGGGGCTGTGCTCCCAGGACAGCTCCTTACTGCAGATTTCCAAGAAGCTGGGGGAGAGGGATTGGGGTGCCCCCGAGGGGTTTGCTTTGCTCATTCCGGATCCCGAGGTTAAATACCCCTTGCTCTGACCTCAGACCGAGGTGCATCTTATAATTACCCTACTCACAGTTCAGTCTTTCAACAACCGTTGATGGTGCGCTCCTAGGTATTACTCACTCTCTTGGGTTTTTTCTTTCTTTCTTGGATGTTCTTAGAGCCTGTAAATTCCCCTTTTTGGCAGTCTTTCCATGGAAAACTTCTTTTTCGTGATGCAGACCCAGCACAGTAGCGGTCTCTGTAAGTGAACAGCCTCATCCCGCTCGACCTCACTCTTGCACTGCTCCAGCTGGTAGGCAGGGCTCTGAGAGCCGGGCACTGCCAGCGCGTCTGGCACGCACAGCTCTCGATGCTGTGCCTCTGGCTCTGCATTCCGGTTTTCAGATGCGTCTTCCCATTCTGAGATCAAGTCGGGCTGCACAGCGCAGAGGTCAGGAGAGCAGCTGGGAACACTCCCATGTGCTGGGCCTGACTGAAGGGTCCTGCAGCCTTGTCCCCCAGAACTCAGGGACAGAAGCACATGTGTGATGACAGCACATGGTAGGCACCCAAGAAAGTGTTTGTGAAGCAATTTCCAAGTAGGGCTCCTTCTCCCGGCCTGTCTCTTGCGTGCTCTTCTCTTTTCCCATGGTCATGAGCACTGCTCCATGCTGCCTGGTCCTGAAAGGCACAGCCTGGGGCTCTTACAGACAGGCTAAGGTCCCCTGCTGGCGTGACCCAGGCACAGCCCACCCTCTCAGAGAAACCAGGCCAGGACATGGTGAGATCCGGTGGGGCAGACCAAGGGTGCAGAGCCCTGGTGGAGTATGCATCAGGCCCCTTTCCCCTGGCCCCCTGATGCCCAGCTCTCGGTGGCCCTCACAGCCAACAGTATCACACGCATGGGTCCTTTGGCCTGCAGACCTGTGACAATGCAAACAAGCCGGGCAGGCCAGCCAGTCTCTTCCAACAGGAAAGCGCACCCGGCTCGCCTTCAAGCCCTTCAGGGAGTCAGTTGTGATCATGGTGACCCTGACTCTTTGACCAGAAGCAGATAGATGCTTCCGCTTCACCAAAACTTGTCTTTCTAATTTTGGAGCTGCTTTCCAAAGGGGTTTAACCTGGTGTGATTTGACCAAGGCCTGCTCCTAAGCCCCGGTTAAGGGAAAGGTCCAAATTTAGACTCTGAGTTCTGAGCGCCAGGAGACACCAGGCTGTAAAGTAGATTGTATGGATCTCCATGTGAATTTGCTGTGAATTTATTTTGCTTGTCTTTTCGATCCATTCCATATTCTCTTTTTTTCTAAACTGAATTGAATATTACAATTGAATAAAGTAGGACTGTTACTTGACTGAAGCCCACTCATCACATCTGTTCCCCTCCTGCCAGCAGCACTTGCACTGGCAGAGACATAGCTTTTTACTTCTTCAACTCAGCTAACTGTTTGTCGCCCAGAACTTTCTGGTCACCTCGGGTGTGGAAAAACCAGAGGTTTCTCTGAAGAAAATCTTTAAAAAGTGAAGCCACACTGTCTCATGTGGGAAGGTTTCAGAAGGAAAGGAGGGCCCACACGGTGCCCACACTGGTGCCTGGCAGACAGATGGAGAAAGGCGAGGACAGAGCCGGAGGAAGGAAGGAAGGCTCCTCCCTTCCCCTGGCAAAGGCCCCTGCTGTTCCTCAGCATGAGCCCTGAGTCTGGGCGTGCACAGGAACACTGCTTGGGTGGGCTGGGGACCAGAGCCAGAGCCAGAGCCAGACAACCCTCCTCAGAAGTCTCAGGAAGAACACCAACAGTGCCTGGTGGTGGCTTCCAGGCAGCTCGGCTGCTCCCCTGTAGTCAGTCTTTGAAATCTCAGTTGGAATTTGGGGAGCACTGGAAAAATGATTTCTGGCTCTGTGTGCCCACTAGTATATATGATATGAATGTGGTAAGAGAACCTGTATTGTAATTTTTTAGTGTTTCTAGAAACTCAGGGAGTGGTGGGGGATGCTCAGCCTAAACTCCAGGCACTGACTACCTGAGGACCCTATCCCTTCTGCACCAGCATAGTGTCGTTTTCTGTCTGTTCCCCTGTGATCAGCTACAGGACCGAACATTGCCTTTCTCATATTTTTTTCCTTCTAAACTTTTCTAGAAATTAAAGATTGACTTATAAAAATTTAAGTCTTATTGATGACTTTATGAGTGTCCTTCATCTAGAATGTCTTATAGAAAGCATATAGTTGCATTTTATATTTTAAATCTATTCTTCCAACTTTTATCTTTCGATTGGGGTTTTAATCCATTTACACTTAAAGAAATTGCCGATAGGAAAGACCTGACTTGTGGCATTTTGTTTCTTGTTTTCCTTGACATTGTGTCACTTTTTGTGTCTTTCGTTTCCTCCCTGTTGCTTTCCTTTGTGCTTGACCTTTCACGGAGACACATTTTTACCCCGTTTCATTTCCTCTGTGTATGTTCTATAGACATTTTCTTTGTGGTTGCCATGGGGATTCCGTCACACATCCCAAAACTGTAGCACTCTAACCTGGTAACACCTTCAGTTGTGCGCGGTTTCCTGCCCTGCAGCCCTGTCTATGCAGACGCTGCTTTAGGCATTTAATCCTTTTATTCAGGGGAACTGTGGATCATGCTCCTCACATTCCACACACAAGGAAATTAAAGTACAGGGAGAGTGAGCCCTAAGGAGTCCACAGCCTCACAGCCAAGTCGGGATCCGCCCCGGGCCATTCACACCCTGGGCCTGTCACACCCTGTGGCACCCGCCCTGAAACTGTGGCTCTGGGATTTCCGCATCAGTCAGGCGTGGCAGCCACTTGCCTTTGTTCAAGTGGGTGGCTCACTGGGCACTCGCTGTCTGACACAAGTACTCCAGGGCTTTTCTTTTTCTTTGCCATTTGCCAGGGGTGTCTGCTAAAATGGAAACACAAGGGTTACAGCACGGCGGAGGCTGGAAGTACACACCTCAAATGTGTATCGGAAGCTTACTGTGGCCACTTGGTAGAAATTCTCCTTTCGGTTCTTAAAATGTTTCCCAATACCGTGCAGGAAAAGCCCTGCGGGCAGCCTGGAGGGACGGCTTGCTAAATGCATTTTTCCCTTCCGCGACAGCTTCCTGCCGGAAACCTTGGTTGGAAGTATGTGCTGCTCCCACCTGCTGGTATTTTATCGGCAGATTCTTGGAGATGCACTGCTGAAAGACAGGACGAACTCACAGAACGCTGGTAAGGAGTCCTCACGCTTCTTCATTCACTGGTGCTCTATGCCTGCATGGATGTAACCTTGGTTTCTAAGTGGGACATTTGGAATAAAATACGGGGGTGGCATCAATGTCAGTACGCCCGATGCAAAGCTTGGACATTTGGAACCTCAAATACATGCTCAGTTCTTTCAGATACACTCTTTTGCATTTTTAAATATGGAAGCTTGAAATTGAAATCTGTCTCTGAATATCTTTCCCCCTCCCTGCACTTGGCATGCAAGTTGTCATTTGGGGAAAAAACAAAATCCTCAAATAACTGATTCTTAGAGCATGAAATATAGGAGTCATTGGATTAGTTTAAAATCAGTGATTTGGCCAGGTACATGCCTGTGACTCCAGCACTCGAGAGGCTGAGGCAGGAGGATTGCTGTGAATTCAAGGCCAGCGTGGCTACATAGTGAGGTCCTGTCTCGAAACAAAATAATCAGTGAATCAAGATAAAGAATATTCTAATTGTTTATGTACTGTTTTTATTCTTGAAACTTCTTTTGAATTTGGAAATTATTCCAAGTCAAAAGTTGAATGATTATTTAGGAAACCAACAAGCTACTTGTAAGGAGAAATGCATGTGTCAGAAGAATAGCCCTCAGAGAGGAAAACAGCTTAGCTTCATTGACTGGGGTTTGAACTGAGTAAATCATCGATCTGACATGTGCGGTCTGCTGCATGCCAGACATTATGTAGGCCCAGGATGAATGAGACAGGCAGGGTCGTCCCCACCCTGGTGGGACGACAGGCCTCAGACACAGTCACATGACTAAGCTGTCCATCCTCTGAATGAGAGCTCAGCAGGAAGATGCTCAGAGGGGGAGAGTGATCGCTAGGAGGCCTGAATTAACTGTGAGGAAATGCTGCACTGAGCAAGGACTATTGAAGAGAGCTCAGAAGGGAGTTCGACCCCTGGGGGTTGGGGAGGAGCTTTCTGGATAGAGGAGCTGGTCTGAGCACCCAGGCAAGAACCTGTGCTCACGTTGGAGGGATAGAACTGAAGGCCGCCAGGATGGACAGGGCCAAGGGGGGCTGGGCTGTGATGAGCTGGCAGCGTGCACAGGTGATGTCTGGGCCAGTCTTGCCACCTGCACCACCAAGTAGCAGTGGAACTCAGAGTCAGAACGCACAGAGATTTCTCAAAGAATAGTCATAGTTCCAGGGGGAGCCAGTGAAGCCTTTTAACTCACACTCACCTTTGAGTTTATTTTAATGACTTTAGAAAAGCTTCATGAGTGACATTACTTCCTAAAGGGGATGAGGGGTGCTATTTTTTTCTCTCAGTAAAGAGAGAGTGGCTCAAGACAGATGGCTTTGTTTGCAGTCGGTCAGCAGAACAAGCTTAGCAGGATCTAAAGAAAGGATTCTCTAAGGACATTGGTGTTGTCAAATGTATCACCCTTGCTATTTGAGAAGTACCTACTATAGTCTGAATGTCTGCTCCGAAATCCAGGCTTTGCTCTTGTGATAGTGTCAAGAGGAGAGGATTTTGAGAGGTGATTAGACCAAGAGTGCTCCTCTCTCATGAGTGGCCTCAGGTGACCTTACAGAAGGGTGTGACCATGGACAGGGATCTTTCTTGCTTATCTTTCTGCCTTCTGTGACAAGGACACAATGTCATTCTCTCCAAAGGGCCAGCATCTTGGTTACTTTTCTCTTGTTTCTAAGACAAAATACTTGATGCTCAAAATGAAGGAAGGAAAGGTTTATTTAACTTAGACTTTGGAGGTTTCAATCCATACTGGCTGCAAGGCAGAGTGGCATGGCAAAGGGGAACCATTCTGCAAACCACAGGCCAGAAAGGGCAAAAAAGGAAAAAGCACCTCTCCTTACCTCCCTTATATTGTTAGCTGGCTCTGCTCCTGGGCAGGTGCAGCACTCACACCACCAATCCCAGCACTAGACAACAAACCAATCACAAACGCTAGACTCAGCCACCTTCATGCCTACAGGTGGCTTTGGGGGGACATTTAAATACAAACCACACTGGCCAGTAAGACAGCCCTCACCAGATACTAAATGCTTAACTGGTGCCTTAATCTTGGGGCCCCGGGTGTCCAGAGCTGTGTGATGTAAATCCCCATTGTTTGTGAAGCAATACCAGGTCCAGGTGCTCTGGCATAGAGGTACCAGTGAACCCACAAATGCCCGCTGCTGTGTCTTGTACTACATCTTCTGTGCCGTTATTCATGATAAAGTATCAGTGTTCCCCACACAATATCTGGTCACGTGACCAGACTCTCCTGTTCTTAATGATAGAACTGTGGGGGAGGACCGGCGGTGGCTGAAAAGATAAGTATGAAATATAAATGACCTTTATTTTGAGAATGCAGAGAGAGACACCCTGATCCCCCAGGGCGTGGCATCTCCGCCCCAGGGTCGGCGATCTCTCCATGGAACATGTGGAGTGAGGCACATAAGTAGCCTCAGTTTGGGATGGAAGCTAAGGGGGGCATTAGGGAAGCACAGGTAGCCCGTTGGTCCTAGGTTTGGCACCATAGGTAAATCCCCAGGGGTGGGAAGATGGCATCACAGGTAAATTCCTAGGGGCGGGGGAGATAGGAGCTTCCTGGTTCCCGTTGAGGCTTTCCTGGCTACAGAGTCCTGTCTGGGCCAAAACCCTTTCATTGAATTCTTTCCTGGTGCACCTGTACAAGGTATAGGGAGGGGCAGAAGTGGAGGTTAAAGTGTATAGAAGGTGTTATCAAGAAATCATTTGGTACCGTGATTTTAATGTGAATGAATATGCGTGTGTGTGGTGCAGTCAGGTACAGTGAATGCAGTTCACGTAAGCTTCTCCTCTTGTGTCTTTCAGATCTCATCAGTCACCCAATGCTGGCCTCCTTCCCCCAGCTCCTGGAGCAGCCTGAAGTGATGGACGCGCTAAGGGTGGGTAGCGCCCTCCATGCTGCAAACCAGCTGGATCTGTGGCTGACACACCGTGGTAATGGGTTCAGACTCCTGCCCTAGGCCGTTTTCCTCCCGCAGGAGGATGGTGTCTCCCCGTCCCCTCCACTACCTACCTGACTCAGCTTCACTCTTTCCAGTGTTAGGACAAATGTCACTTCCCAACAAGCAGGTGGAGTCTGCTGTGTGCACATTGCACCCTCTTGCCTGTTTGTTCCTTGATTTGTGGTAGCCTGTGATGGTGTCCTAAGAGCAAAAATTCTGAAGGGTTTGGTTGAGGAATCAACTGCGTTTTCAGGGAAGAGCCAGGACATGCGTATCGTTTTTAATTTGACACGCCATCTAATGTCTGAAATAGCACTGATATTAGGTGGAGCCATACGAAATCTCTCATTCTCAGCCACGTTTAACTGTTTCACATGGCTCAGCCTAAAATATCAGAGTCAATAAATACTAGCAGTCCTGTGTTCATGTGAGACCCGTGCATTGGTAATGCGGCAGTGTGACAGGGAAGTGTCATCCTGGGCCTTGAAGATTTAAAATAGGCAGCGAATGTGGGTCGGGGCCCTGCTGCCTTAAAGAAGATAAAGGGCTGGGGCCACAGAGGACTTTCAACCTGCCGAGGGGTGAAGACCCTGCAGGTGAGTGGTCAGCAGGAACAGACCGTTTGGGGCAGGAGGGAATTGAGAGTGCTGGTGAGGGAGCATGGCGGATCTTGGGGTCTTTATGTGGAAGGTGATGAGGTGGCCTGGGGCCAGGTAACCTGGAAGAGTCTGCTGCAGCCTGACCCACTGGCAGTGCAGTGGGGTGGAAGAGCTCTGCCGCTGAGGGGGTTTGGGCGGGCCTGACAGAAATGGAAGGGCTCTGTCTTCAGAGATTTACACTAGACCTTGAATGTGATTCATGCACTGGCTTGGCTGAGGCAGGGGGCGTGCACAGTTCCAGAGACGTTTAGGGAAAGAAAGAAGAGTTAAGAAAGTGTTCATAGTATATGATAGTCTACGATTTTAAATGGGTTCGCGTGGAACTGTAGTTAGATAATGCAGTGTTGGTCTTATTTCCCCTCTAAAATCATTTGTGTCATCATGGTCATTCATTTTCAGAACATAAGTGCATTCATTCATTCAGCAAAGATTTCAGAGTACAAGGGGCCATTAAAATGTACAGCACATGTTTGCTTTTTTAAAAAATCTATTCCAGTGAAAGACGCATTGTCATTAAGCCCCCCGCAACAGTCCCCTCCTTGCTGCAGACACGCTCAGCCCATCCCTCTCGCCACTTTCTGAAGCAGTTCTGGAAGTCATCCTCCATGGCTCTATGGGGCGTGATCAGAAGCACAGTGAATGCTGCTGCCACGTGCCATCCGGTGGAAAGGCAGCTCACAGTGTCCTCAGCCACCCTTTCCACCGGATCTGACCCTGTGTGACCTCTGGCTCTTCCCCAAAGTCAAAATGACCATGAAAGGTAAATGTTTTGAGTAGATTTAGGACCTCAAGGCAGCCAGCAGCACCATTGAAGCCCTGGAAGAGGACTCAGAACTGTCTCAGATGGTGGTCAGAAAGGTGGGATAAATACGTCCAAAGTGAAAGGGAGGATTGTGAGGGGTATGGAGAACAATGTGTCTTTTACTGTAATAATTTTTTTAAAATTTAAGCACTCACCGTGTCTTTCAGTCACACCTGGTATTTCTCTAGATGTGCACCAGGCAGATTCAGGATGCGACATTCAGAAAGAACCCGAATGCTAAGTTGGTCTAAAATCTGCCTGTCTTCCATGAGAAGGTGGCTCAGAGCTCAGCAGGGGCCACACCAGAGCTGCACTGTCAGCCAACTCTGCGTGTGCCCAGTTGCACCAAGATACACCACGGCTGGTCAAGAAAGCTCAGGCCCAGCCTGGACAGCTTAGCAGTGCAGGAGGACCCTGGCTCCAAAGAACATGAATACAGAAGAGCCGAGGATGTGGCTCAGTGTAATGGCCCTGGCAGCCCCTTGTATTGGAAAGGAAAAAGAAGAAAAGACATAAACTAGGGGCTGGGGATTTAGCTCAGCGGCATAAGCGCCTGCCTTGCAAGCAGGCAGTCGTGAGTTTGATCCCTGGTACTGATAAAAAGGAAAAAGACCAAAAATAAAAGATATAAACTCATTCAAATCTCTTTATTAAATGAAAAAAATTCATTTGAGATCTTTGCCTATGAGATCTAGACAAAGAAAGGTATCAGCGATCACCTCTGATCCTGGGTTATTTTATCTGTATTTTCTTAAGTTACCTGTATAACAAATAATGAAAATTAGTAACAAGAGTAGTTAGCCCTACACTCCTGAGCCTGTCCCTCGAGGCCAACTGTGTGACTCAGGATAAGCTCAGGGGGACTGCGTGGCCAGTGCAGTCCCATCCAGCTTGACTCAGTGGGATACTTGCTCCACAGCCCCCCAAGGGTGCAGGCTGGGGGAAGCCCCACCACCTTACAGCACCCTGGGAAGTGAGTAGCTGCAGGAAAAGAGAGTGGAGGGCTGTCCTTGGGGTTTCTGCTGCCCTTGCCTGAGGAACCCGGGCCACTTGTCACAGGGCATTGACAAGGAAGAGGCCCACTCCACTTCCCTGGTTGGGAGCTGTGAGGTAGGGGCTGTGTTTGTTCCAGAAGGGAAGAGGTGAGCCACACATGGTTTCTGTCTCCGCCAACTCAGTCTTGGCAAAGCATCCCACCGCCTGCTGGTGACCCAGTGAACAATAGCATGGAAGCCCCACACTTATCAACAGGAGGCCATGTTTCCATACAAGAAGTCTGAATCCCCTGAGTGACTTATCTGTATAGCTCCTGAAATCCACACTGAAGTGTGTGGACCTGCTGGTATGCACTTAGCCAAGTTCACTTTGTGGTGGGCATTTTAAAAATAATTACGGCACCTGGCCCATTTCATGAGGCACTCAGGCTTCCTAAGGGTCCTCTGCAAGCTCCTGAGCACTTACAGCCCAGTGGTGCTAGGGTGGGTGCCACATCCCCAAGGGGGTAACCAGGAGCCCTCTGGGACCTGCCAGCCTCCAGTGAAAAAGGGCCCTTTGGCGCCCCCTTCCTTCCGTGGGGAATGTCTTCCTTGGCCCAGTGCTTTCAGGTTACCCAGGAAATCAGGTGCCAACAGGAAGACTCCCACAAACACACACAACCCAGGCCCTGGGCTGGGCAGCCTGGCCACATTCCACCCAGACCCAGGTCTGCTCTGTGAAAGGCTTCAGTTCCTGTTTCTGTGGGATCAGCTGAACTCTGGGTGTTCATTTCTCTCAAGAAGCTCTTGTGACGTCTTGTGGACAGATTGGAATTATTTACTTACAAAACCACTTCAGTCTGTCTGACCCCAGCCGGTATCATCATCGCAGCAGGCAGGATTGCTAGGAGCTCGGCATTTGGTGGTGGTGTCTGCTCTCATTGATAGCTTACCTGAGAAGCTATTTAGAAACCTAATTCTGTTTCATTGTCCTGCTGTGTCTGCACACCGACTCTTCTTTTTTTCCCTCTGATCCAATACTGGGGATTGAACCCAGAACCTTCACACTGAGCTACATCCCAATCCCTCTTCTCCTTTCTTTTCTTCTCTTTTTTTGAAGACAGGGTCTTGCTAAGTCATTAAGTTGCACAGGCTGGGCTTGAACTTACTCTCCTCCATCTGTCTCAGCTTTCTAGAGAACTGGGATTACGGACACTTTTTTAAAAATTAGTTCTGACTTAAAAATGGGCATGGTGGCACGTGCCTGTAATCCCAGTATTTGGGAGGCTGAAGCAGAAGGATCATAACAAGTAGAACTACACAGTTCAAGGCCAGCCTAGGCTACATAACAGCCCTGTCTCAACAACACAACACAAAACAAAAAACACAGGTATCTTTCATGGACATGTCCAGTCAGTCCTGTTCCACACTCTTAGCAGTGGACACCTAATGACAGAGTCACTTCTGGCGTGTGTAGATTCCGAGTGGCATTTCTAGCCCTGCTCATAAGCTTATTACACCATAAAGTGGCACAAGTGTTGCAAGGATTTGTGAATACTCAAACTAATATATTTCTGTTGGCTTTTGTAGAGTTCATGGGCTGAGAAAGAAAGCACACTGAAAAGATCAGAGAAGGTAATACGATTTTTCATGTGGGACTTTCTGTAGTGCTATGGTTGCGTGCATGTTCTTTAGCTAAAAAGTCATAGCCCCGCTTACTCAGGTAGCTGTGCTATTTCGGTTTCAAAGACATATTCTAAGAAGGGTGTGCATGGCCTCCAGAATGTCATTTCAGGTCACTGAGGTTTATTTAAATGAAGGGGGAATTTCTAAACCAGAGTCTCCAGCTGGCTATCCCATATCCCTGATTTCAAAAAAAATTTTCCCTCCAGCTGCCAACAACTAAATCACATGGGGACAAGGAAAGATGAGTTTGGCCTGGGCTGTGTCCCATACTCACAAGTGCCTGGGTCCGCTCGTGTCACTTAGAAGAACTGTGATTATCACAGAAGTCGCATGGATCTGTGAGCAGCGGTTCAACTGCGCTGACCCAAGATCAGCAGGCGACTTCTGTAAAGGGCCGGGTGGTAAATATTTCACCCTGCGGGCCACACATCTGGCGACAAGCACTGTCCTCTGCCGCCAGGATACAAGTGACTGAGGCTGGCCTGGGACCTCTGAGGCCCTGTGTACACACAGACGCATTTCCCCGTGGTCCTGTTTGCCATTTCCTGATCTAAAGTGCTGGTTATCTGAAGTGTTGATCTAAGTAAGGGTTGTGGGAGAACAAGCAAACCGAAAACTCTGACTGCTGGGGGTGCTATATCCCATAGACTTATTTACACAGCATATAAATATACCACAGACTTATTTATACAGCTTACTTGGGCTTCCCTTTGCTATATGACCTTTCCCACAGCTGGCACACGACCTTTGCTAAAAGGCAGGCTGCAGTACCTCAGTGTTGTCAGGGCAGTGTTTGTGTGGAGAGCGCTGCATACGGATTGCTCTGCCCTCGGCCATTGTGCCCCTTGTGCCCCGGCCATGGCCTGATGGCCTCGGGGCTGGGTGGATCCTCTTGATACAGGGAGGCTCTGGTGCCCTCTGGACCACAGGACCCCCGCTTCCCAGCCCAGGCACTGCTAGAATTCTACCAAATCCTTACCTCCTGGATCTCCTTTCTCTGGACCCCATGTGTACATCTGTCCCTCCCTTACAGAAGCCAGACAGTTGTATCTGCTATGCTGTCACTGGGCTAAGTAGACACAGCTGACCTTGCTCTGCGTCTTAGCAGAACCACACATTTGTCACCAGCGTTAGATGGCAATGCCGTGGTCTCCTGAGAGTGTGTGACACTCAAGGAGACACTGGGAGACTGTCTCAGGGAACCCCCCGGCTGTGCTCTGGGGTGGCTTTTTAGCTGTCAGGCACAAAGGGCACCTCTCCCATGGCGCCTTGCAGGTGGCTTTTAACTAACAAGGGTCAGAATCTCCTGCTTAAGTATAATGATGTGTTCCACCCACGGTTACTCTTGCTGGCTGCCGCTGTTTCCCCAGAGGGACAGAGAGCTCCTGAAGGCCAGCTTCCTCCTGGTCTACCACGACCGTGTGCTCCCGCTGCTGCACTCCACGCTGCTGCCCCCCTTCCGGTGGGCCGAAGAGGAGACCCAGGCTGCGCGGTGGAAAATCATCGCTGACTTCCTCAAGCAAACCCAGGAGAACCAGGGTGCCCTGCAGGCCCTGCTGTCCAAGGACGGAGTCCATGAGCCTTTCGACCTCTCGGAGCAGGCCTACGACTTCCTGGGTGCGGGCAGGAGGAGTGATCCACGGGGAGGCCTCTCACCAAGTGGCAGAACCCAGAGTGACCCATTCTGACTGGGACCTGCTCTTTTTCTGTACAGATGGTATTTTTAAAGATATATTTATCTAATAATATGAATGCTTTTAAAAAATAAAATCAATTTTATAAGGAATACTGTTATACTTCAATTTGAAGATAACTTTCAAAAACCAACTACTTAAGTTTTAAGTTGATAGTACAGATTTCTACATAAGCCAGATCTTATGAAAAGCCAAGTTTATGTTTATTCAGAAACAACCCACAAAATAGAAGATATTTCCAAATCACATATCTGACAAGAATTTCATAGCCAATATATATAAATTTACAAGTTTTACTAGCAAAATTGATCTCGTCTGTTAATCACTCAATTCAGTTTGATATTTAAATATGATTTACCCCTAATTAGCCATTTTTTCCTTTTAAAATCAATATGTGTGTTCTGTCAAAAAGAAATCAAGGGGCTGGGAATACAGCTCAGAGGCATAAGCACCTGCCTGGCAAGTGAAAGGTCTTGAGTTCAATTCCCAGTGCCAAAGAAAAAGAAAAAAAAGAAATCAAGCCTGGAGAGTGGGATTATCTCACCCTTCCAGAGTAGAGATGAGCTAATCGGGTCTTTCTCCATTCAGATAAACCTGTGGCTGCTGGCAGAAGTCCAGCCTTGCTGTTGTAATTAATGGTAGCAGCTGATGAGTGGAACCAGCCGGCATTGATGGAGTGCCTTTTGTGCGACTGGCACTGTTCTGGCTGGCTCAGTGGTCTTCACCACCACTGCAGCAGGAAGACCTGGTTTTCTCCATGTTACTGCTGTTACTGCTGTGCCCAGGCCAGCACATGAGATCCTCGCCTGAGATCAGAGCTAGTGGGTAGCACGGCTGATGCACACTGAAGACCGGGTGTCATTTTCTATTCATGAGATGCAAGCATTTAAGAACTGTGTGCAAATAAAATCTGAGGACACTATTTGAAGAAAAGTATGACAGGTTGGTTGGGAAAGGGTGTAACCTCAACTCTTAGAACCATTAGAGATTTTTTACAGCATTCTGCTATAAAAGAGGCAGGTATGTTTAGAGATCTGTCAGGTTGTTAAATTTCTGTACCACATCCTAATTAATTTAACGCTTAACCTAAACTTGGGCCTTGTATGAGTCCATTTGCTACCACTATGACAGGATACCTAAGCAGGGTCACTTACAGAGAAAACAGGTGTTTACCTCACAGCCATGGAGTTTCAGGGAGCGGCACAGTATCCGCTGGGCTCTGGCAAAGGCCACTAGAGTTCACGGCAGGCAGGATGGCAACCCACAGAGCAGGGAGGGCACTTGTCCCCAACTTGCTCTGCCCTGCCAAGAGCTGCCCCCATGGGACCTGCCTTCATCCCTGCTGGGGGCAGCACCCCAAGATCCAACCAACTGCCCTAACCCTCCCTCCCCCACCTCTTAAGGGTCCTGGCAGCTCCTCACATCACCACACAGGGGACCAAGCTTCCAACACAGGAGGTTTGGGGACACACCTAAATTCTACCCTCAAGCCACGCAGTCCTTAGTCTTGGAAATTGGCATGGCATGGAGGGTCACCGGCCACAGCAGTGATCATCAGAACCTGGCCTTGGAAAAGAGGCTTCACAATGTCTCTGAGAGTGCGTTTGGGGAGACCCCCTCCCTCCACCCTCCCGTCTTCCCTCAGTGACAGGTGAGGTGCTGATGATGCCCAAGACACCTTTGCCATCACCACATAGCCCCCTGGGGTACCTCTAGATGACAGCCTCCTGTCCCCAGGACCATGCCCTCCACAGAAGCAGGGACTTGTTCCTACACTGTTGCTGAGTGGCTGTCTCGTCATCCCCAAGGCCCTCTCCGGAAGGAACGGGAGGCTGTGTGAACCCCCCCCCCCCCCCCGTGACTCATTTCTCTGCAGAACCTTTATTTCCTAGGTTCTGCCTTTCTGTTTTTAACCACTGACCATGCTGGTGGATTCCTTTCCCAGGATGGAGTCAGAGAGGACGAACTGGCCTGAGGGTGTGTTTCCAGACTCATCCAGGCTGCTCTGAAGATGTGTCATGCGCCTGGACAATGTCATAGTTTCTGACACATGAGAAAAGTACAGGGACTGGAGAGAAAACAGCTTCAGTGTCGCTGAGGCCAAAATCTGAGGGTTGTGGCATGTTAGTCTGAGTAGAGGGGACAGATGTCTCTGCCACCGATTGACCACCTTCTCTTCAACCAGTGGAATCTTGGTGGGATTTAAAAAAAAAAAAATGAAACCTCTTTTTCAAATGCTCCTCTTTAGCTTCCAAAACAGGAAGGGGCTGTCAAGGAGCCAGAAACATCCTGAAAACCAGTCCTGGCACTTTGGTGTCAATGAGCCAGGCTAGGCCACCCTGAGCTGACCTGAGAGCTGGGCGGGTGAATAGCAATGGGGTGACCTGCGGCCCATGCTGATGACGCGCCTGCAGTGACTGTCACTGTGGCCTGCCCTGGGGCTGGGACTCCCTAATGCAGGACCGTGGCAAGGGGTGGGGCAGGACCTGTTCCTCCCCAGCCTCGAGACCTCTTGGCACCAGCCGAGTGTTTCTCATCAGATCCACTGCAGGTGAAATTCCTCGCAGTTCCCGAGCCTGGTGCTCAGCGTGATGAGGGGTGGCAGCCCAAGAGGAGGACGATTTCAGAGCTCTGTGATTTTGTGGTCTCATGTGTGAGGTCAGAACAGCCCAAATGGAACCAGCGCCATCAGTGACAGCTGGCAGTGGAGAGTGGGCTCAGTAGCAGCTGGGAAGCCTATCTGTTCAGTGAAGAGCTGGAGGTGTTATCTGCCAGCAGAGGGCTTTGTCACTGTGCAGGGCAGTCAGGTGGCTCGAAGACCCCTGCATCTCTGCGTCCTGCCATTACATTCAAGTTCCAACAGTGCCACGGCCAGGGAATGGGTAGCACTGTGGCAACACAGAGCAGAAGTGTGCCAGTGTTCTTCCTACCCAGACACGTCCTCTGTGGACTGAATCCCCAGCTGCCCCTGGGGACCTGTGGATTCAGACACATTTTTAGATGAATCCCCACATCCTCCTGGGAAACTCAAGAATGAGCAACTCAAATCCAGACCTGCCATCTGAAGGCCGGGGATCTGAACACAGCAGCCAGATGGACTTCGTGGGGCAAGGCTGAGGACAGGGCGATGTGGCCTGGACCAAGGTGCAGTAGGACGTGGTGGCATTGGGTGTCTGAAAAGCAGATTGGACCTTCACCTGCCCATTTATGTCAGCTTTGCCAGCAATAAGTAAATTGGCAGACCTTTGTCCTCTCACGGAGGCCAAAATGGGGAAACACACACACACACACACACACACACACGCACGCACGCACGCATATACACACAATGCACACGGCTCCTGCTTTCTGAGCTCTTCGCCCACAGAGTCCCTCTTCTCTCCTGGCAGCTGTCGTCTTTGGAGCCTGAAGCTCATGCACACCCTAGCTGTGATAAACACTACAAACACCACGTCACTCAGCCTCTCCTGAGTGCACCCTGCTACACTCGCCTACCCCATCTGACAGTTGGGTGAATTTGATCTGTGAGACAGCAGCAGGCTAGAGCCAGGGAGACATGGAGAGGGAGAGCTTGTCCTGCTCCTTAGCAGGGGAGCCAGGGTCGGGGACGTCTGGGGCCCCTACGGACCGACCTTCATGTCCTTCTCTACCTGCAACTTCCCCACCTTGGGAGCACATTTGAGTCAGCAGACCGAGTCTCACGCAGAGCCAGCATTACCTCTGGATTTCTCACTGACCCAAAGCAATGAATTCTCTCCCTGTCACAGCGGATCAGAAGGGATTTTCTGACACATTCGATGGAAGTAATCCCCGTTACAGATAGTGCTGTCTGCTCTTCCCCCAGGTATCTCTGGCTTTCTCTGGGCCTGACCCTTTGGTACCAGGCAACCTGGAGATTGCTTCTGAGCGATGTGTAGAGCCGTGTGTTGACGGGGCAAGAGTTTGAGGAAGAGGAGTCAAAAAGAGACAGGCGGCTGTCTCCAGAGCCCTGAAGACTGGGAGGGGAGACTGAATCACTCCGAACCTCTACAGAGCATGCTCAGTGGGCCAGGCAGCCCTAAAGGTGGTGCGATGTCCTGGTTCCCCACAGGCACAAAGCTGCTGCTCCCCTGAAGCTCACATCCTAGAGAGGTGCGCAGATGGGGAGACAGAAAATTGGCAAATGAGTGGGTGACAAGAAAAGTACTTGCACAGAATCACAAGCTGGAGTGGTTTCTGCTCTAGTCAAGTACAGAAGGCTACTATGTCTCCCGGTGTCATTACCTAACTTACCCTAAAGCTGACTGTGCTAATACCCAGGGATTTCAGAACTGAGCTATGGAGCTCCAGTTTGGCCTTCAGTCCAAGACAGCAGTGCAGAGCCTCACAAATGGAAGTGATCTTGAAGCCACAGCTGAGAGGAGAGAGACAAACCTGCAGCCTGGCCCCCAGCAAGCAGGCCTCCTGCTAAAGCAAGTGAAAAATCAGTATTCAAATAGGATTTGAACAAGAATCCTGTCCCATGACACATTATTTGTTAAGGTCTGGATACAAGCCAAAGTTACTGAATCTTTTGGAGCTGAACGAGAATCTCAGTATCTCCAAAGGGAAAAGACAAAAAGAAAATCAAGAGGTAGCAGCTCCAAGAGGATACAACAGTTGATATTGAGACACAAAAGCAGCTATTATAGGCAGCTCCAGAAAAGAAAGGGCAAACTCCTGAGCGATGAACAGAGAGACAGACCACCTCGGAGCGGGAGCAGACGAATCACACGCAGAGCCAAGCTGAGATTTTAGAGGCAGGAAATGTGTAACAGCCAAAATGACAGTACAGATCTGGCTCAGCCGCACGGCTCTGCCTGGCAAGCACAGGGTCCTGGTTCGATCCCCGTACCAAGCAAATAAAAAAATAACCGAAATGACAAAATCCAGTGGCAAACCCAATACCTCAGTAGACTCAATAACAATGTAAATGGCAGATCAATATAAACGGCCCAGTCTGAACAACAGAAAGGAAAGAGATTTAAACAATGAAGAAACGAGCTCAGGACTCTGTGGTACAATACTAAGGAGCTAACGTTCCTGTCAGGAAGGAGGAAAGAGTACAGTTAGA